AAACACCCGTTCTTTGTATGCCACAGCGACTCTTGTTGTTTTAAAAATGACGAGGTGTTACGCAGGTCGTATCCCATTAGTCAGACGCCCATTTCTCATACGGCCACTAGTCATACTTAACATGATCTAAAATGTAGCAGTAAACATGGGATCCTGGCCAGGAGGAAAAACAAATATCATAAACGTATTATTATCTGATATCCTCTTTCAGAGAACCACATTCTTTATATACAAAATATATTGATATTAATCAGTAACAGCTTCTGTAACCTTGTTCAAAACTGACATCTCAGGATCCTACACGATATGTACGATTTCTGTATACAAATATATTCAATGTATAAATTGATGTGAAAAAGAATATGTACCATTGGGAGATAGGAAAATGTTTACTAAAACCTATTTCTTGGTGGAATTTCCGTATTGTTTCGTGGTTTTTTCCTGGGCAACCTGTCACTGATAACATTTATGAGTTCGTGACGGTGAGCTTTTCTTCCGTGTGTGATGACTCAGGGTAATTAATCGACCAATTAAGATATTTCGAACGACACGACAGTCATAGGACACAATTTTCCTTGTTTACATAGGTTGACTGTTCAAAGCGTCCATTTCAGGATTGAGGATCAGATTCAAATGTTATGTGAGGGAAATAGGGCCGGGACGGGTGGGTAATAAGTTGAACCCGGGTACCCGTTGCAATGCCCGGACCCGTTATGATCATGTGACTAATAGATTTAAACAATTTAATATGTTATTCTTTCATGATTAAAATGTTGTATCGTCTTTGAATATTTAGACATAATTTACAGTCACTTCTTTTGAATATAACACATATTTAAGATATTGAAAAACTCGAAATTGTATCCTCCGAGCTGAAGAATATATTGCCATTTCCTGCAAATTTGGGGTCAGGAATTAACATAACGGGTATCCGGGTAGGGTAGGGTAACAGAGGTGGGGTACCCGGATAGAAAATTTTGACCCGTTCCACCCCTAGAGGGAACATAAGGTTTGCAGTTGGTTCCCTCAGGTTGTAGAGAAATTAATCTTCGATGTAACCATATATATATATATACATAACATATAGTGAGTTCTTTGAGTGAGTCTAAACTTTTGATGGGTAGTATAGTTACTGGTTTTTATGTATACATAACACATCTCGAGATTCTAGTCGTTACAGGTGTCCCTGCAATCTAGAAATTGCTGATTACTAATCGATACCTTCTTCCGGAAAGGGTATACTTTGTGAGACGGGTAGCACGTTTTTCCTGGTATCACATTGTGATAAGGATGTTTTTCTGTGAAAATACTAACAGACTATATATATATCTGATAGCTAGACGTTAACTCGAGATTTTAAAAAGTAGATGTAGCAGTGGCAACTTCTGTAGTTTTCATTTTGGGTTTTTATTGGGTGTTTTTGCTATTGGGTAGTCCGGCAGTTTCCTCGCAATGAAACATCTGGTATTAGTACAATAAATATTGTGTTGCATCTTAACCTGTTTTAGATAGAACCCTTGCATCATGTCTGTTAATCCAGCGTCTTGCTTTTCCAGCCATGGGAAGGCCAGATCGAGGTATCTCTATATTTCCTACATGGTTTAAGGTTCACGCTGTAGCAATATTACAGTGTAAATCTTTATTTGTACGATATATCTACAGAGTTACCCTGCTGTTGGGGAGGGCACTGTGTGGTGTGTCAAAGTGAGTTATCTCAGTGGCCATGTGGTACAGTCTTTGGCCTCAATACGCCGTCAGATAGACAGGTTACACGGGACACGTGTTATCATACATGAAGTGGGACGGTGTCACAAGACAGACTCTATCTACATGATGATGGTCTAGATATGTGCCCAACCTCATGGCCATACGAATTACCTATTTCAGGGTTTGCCATTAAACGTGGACTCTTAGGGACGTTGCCATCGTTGAACTCCGTACCCCCCACCCTCCCTCAACTCCCCCTACCGGGTGTTTCACCTTGACAGTGGTTCAGATAAAGCTGTTCTGCTTACTTTGGTAGCTTTGTGTTTGTTTCATGTTTTCCAGAACTTTGGGTTAGCGTCTGTAGAGCGACACCTAATGTTGAAGGTGTATAGTGTATGAGAAACTGTGTATAGCTCCACCACTAATTCAGTTGTGAAGCCTCGTTTTAATGTCATGTAGCAGACACCCGTGGGGATGGCAAGTGGAGTCTCCTGGGGGATGCCAAGAGGAGTCTCCTGTGGGGATGCCAAATGGAGTCTCCAAAAGTTATGCCAAATGAGTCTCCTGTTGGGACGTCATAGAGGCACTTGCGGGGATGCCATGGGGGATGCTATCATTTTCGTCACAACAAGCACAAATCTCAATAAGTTTTCCTAAAAAAGCGTCTCAACCACTTCCCCAACATCAAACACACATTTCGATCATTTATTCACAAGAAACACACACCTCAATCATATATTTTCACAACAGCACACATTTCAATCAGTGTCTTCACAGAACACTCATCTTACTCGATTTCCTCACAGTAAACACACATCTCAAGAAGTTTTTTCACAACAAAACATCTGCATTAACGCAATCAGCATCTCAGACCTTGGTCGATTATACTAAAATGTAAGACATATTTGTCAGGATTGAGACACGGAAATTGCAAGAATTAAGAAAACAGTTTTTTGAAAACCAAAGGTGAGAATTTTGAATCCTGGATGTGGATATTATTCTATTCTCACAGCAAGACGTCTTCCAGTCCCAGCCTCTGGCAACTGCCTAGTGGAACCTCAGTTCGATCAGAGACGAGCATACTTGCCAAGTATGTGAAAACATACTAGCAGCCCGTGGGCCCTATATCAGGGACCAAAAACGGTGGGTGCTGTTGGTTAAACGTCGCGTGGACGACAACTATACACAACCCATTGACATGTTGCACATCGACGTGAAACTGGTTCCGAGGGCCAACTGGTGGTATCATCAGAAGTGACCTGTCTTTAACGGGTTCGACGCCGGGGCGCTTTTAAGCCCGATTTAACCCGATTTACGGCAGTTTTTCACGCTGCAGGTACTTGTTATGTTTCTAGCAGTTCCGTTTCAGCTTTGTGAAATATTTCTGTTTATATGCATGCTCCATGTCTATTTTGGAAAATTTTTCCACTCCACAAAATAGCAACATACTGGAAATATGTTGACATTCAGCACTTGGTTTACTGTTGAATTACAGTCCCCACAAATTCTCTGTTTTATCACCTTCTATTGCACGTACAGTCTTGTTCTTGATGAGCTAAATATCCTATAAATTTACCAATTTCTTCAGAGAACATGATTCTCTTTCAACGATTTTCTGCCTGAATATTTGCTACACATATGAACGACACCACCCTGTATTCACATATGCTAGCCGCGCTCTTTGTAGCAAAGAGGACGTCTTTCCCTTTCAAGCGTTAATCGAACTTGCTCAATTAAATCAGTTTGTGTACACCTCTCCAGTAACGATATTTCGTCTCGTTTATGTAAGGGTGATCAACACCATACCCGCTATCGTGGGTCTCACCAAAGTGCTGAATGTCTAAGATCTGCATAAAGTCGGGCTTTGTTCCCTCATATACTGGATATATCTGGAATGACTGAGAGGCAGTATTTAGTTCCACTCCACACTATTTAGTTACTACCATCTATGTTGACGTAACACCCCAGAACGCCACAGCATCTGATTCAAACACTACGAGAAATCACAGACAAAGACTTCAATAACTTTGGCAAAGGCATTTACACGAGAATCTCACCATCTTTGTTTACATTGTCACTTCCGGTTGACCTTGAACTTGATCCTGGGTCACGGTCCGAGCTGCAGGTTGACTCCCTTGTTTAGAAGCAAACATTAAATTAGAAGTACCATTAATCAGTTGGCAACTGTTGACAAGATGAAATAAATAACCCAATCTCTATCAAAAGTTGATATTTAAGGCCAAGGCCTTCTGTTGAACGAACACGTTTCTATGGTCGTTATTTACACAGAATTTCCAATTTCAGCAGTGAGGTCTTCTTCTACAGTTTCCGTTGAATTTATATAATTCTCCAACCAAGATGGTCCCACTGCCTCTAGTCCATAGGGACTGCCCCACTGACAGTTACGATAAACTCCTTTCAAGGCAAATATTTCAGCTGCATCACTTTCACTTTCCATCCGTTAGCGCAAATCTGTGTCTTTCAACGGCATCTCGAGGTCCTGACATGTTGTGATTCCGTGTAGTGATTACAGAAGTAACTCTAGGTGGTCAGTCTGTTATCTTGCTGTCTCTTAGATGAAAGCCAAGATCTAAAGACTCCAAATGTCCTGCTTCGACAGGATTTCGGCTACTCGGTGTTCGGTGTTCGTTTGGAATTTCGATTGCTTCAAAGAAGAGAATCACTTTTTCTGCCTGCCTGAACCACTCTCCTTTACAATTGTCCATGGTCGGTGGGTAGCCCAGTGGTTAAAGCGTTTGCTCGTCACGCCGAAGACCCGGGTTCGATTCCCCACATGGGTAGAACGTGTGAAGCCCATTTCTGGTGTCCCTGCCGTGATATTGCTGGAATATTGCCAAAAGCGGCGTAAAACTAAACTAACCCACTACATTCGTTCAAATGTATAACTTCACCAATGACGCTAGCTATTGTGACGATCATAAGCAGTCCCATTCTCATGGCTCCGGAAAACCACATGTTATATAGCGTGATATCCCATAACCGCTCACTTGATATTACGAACCTGACACTGCATAAACCTCTTAGAAAAAGAGCTAATAAAATACAAATGGCGGCCTCTTAACTCTTTTCAAACCTATACTTAATATCAGCCCTTACATATTTAACCCTAAAATCACACATTATACCTCGATTGCGTTCATCTAGTCCATGTATTTAATATGCATGTTACTGATATTGTTTCGTTTACTTTTCGTTTTGCCAGCTAGGGAAGCCTGATAACAGTTGTAAGCATGTGACGCCAAGGTCCCTGCAGCACGTGTGAGGGGCAATCGGCCAATCAAAACACATCACATGACTCTCATATGACACAAAGGCATGACCCGTCTATTTGTTGTATATAAAGGTGGAATAAAGTGTTGATCGTCCATCTCAGGGCTGAAGATCAGATTCAAGGTCAGTCTATAACTAGCATTATACTGTGCCATTATATAGTGTTTGTTGATAGCCTGATATATTGAGCATTGCATTTTTGCGCAAACATGCTTGGCGTGACTAGTCTCAACTAACAATTTGCTTTGCTATCTAAAGTTCTAATCAACATCGGTCATAGACTCGTCTTCTGTTGATAGCTAACCAGGTTGTCAATTTTTAACATACACCCCAGACAGACTACACAGATTTGTCACAGAAATCAACCTTAAACTTTAGGGTACATCACGGAAGGCAATGCATATTGTTGGGGAGATTCATAACTAAATACACTGTCAAATCTGTCATTTAACATGTCACAAGTCACTGTGAAAACAACATCGGCATAAATCAGAGCAGCCCATAGTAACAGTGCAGTCATCTCCAGTCTTCCTTCCGAAAAGAACTCGTGTTTCGTTTCGTTCAATCACCTTCCGCAGTTTGCCTGTCACAGTTATATCTACATTTACGAATGTTCCGTTTGGTAGTTTAACGAGGTCTATAAATAGTCAGGACCAGACCACCCAGTGATTTACACAATGAGCATCGATCTACTCAACGGGATACGATGACAAGCAAGTACATAGTTAATGTGACCGAACTCAATCCACACAGTCACTTCTACAGCATATACATCCCATTGGACCTGTTTTCTCCAACGGTGGTTCTGTCTATACAGTAATGCTTTGTGTACACATTACAGCTGTCCCTGTTACACGATTCACTACTGGAATTGCTGTGACGTGATTAAGCCACCACCTGTTAATTATTAATGAATTTTAGATTCTTGAGAAATGTTGACACTGTATGCGACCTGTTTGAAAAGTTTACTTTTTTCCTGAAGAAGAGATCAGATCTCAAAGTAAAAATCATCCATCTCAATTTTAAAACAAGTAAAAATATTTAACTGCGTCCTACTACTTAATATATTTCCAAAATCCATATTGTTGCATATTTCTAAGAATAGTAAATCCGTGTTTACTGATCAAGTCTTTCATTTGTGAAAAGTAATGTCTACAGATTGAATTTATGCTGTTGGGGAATACACAGCATAGGCTTCAGCTGGTCTTGCAGTTCATTATCTCGTGATGGTGTGGTTAACCCTTTGGCCTCAACAGGTTGCCTGATAGGCAGGTTACACAATGTATGTATTATCAAAGATAACGCGGTGTATAATCACAAGATAAGACTCATGGTGTAGACCTAGATATCTGGCCGATTTCAGGGGTTGGTATGAAACTCCCATGGGTTTAGGATTTTAACTAAGTCATTATGTTTTGAAGGTTAAGCTTCTGAAACAGGGCTGGTCTGGATTCTATCCAATGCTGTTCTTTCATCTTCCAGATTACTCTCGACTCCCAGTCTAAATATAATAGCATGCACACACTGCCCTCTACTGAATGTTAACATAAAGAACATAGCACACTTAAGACACTGTTTTACAATGACTTTCTATGCCACATATCACCACTTCCTGGGTTTAGGGAAAAGTTTTACTTTGGAAACCAAACTGAGTTGACTGACACCATCACTGACAATATGAACTATTCTGTGTGTTTCAGATGAAGGTCCTTCTGGTTGTGTGTTGTATGGCCGTGGCTGCCATGGCGGCACCCGAATTCTATCACATGAACACTGATGCTATGATTGACAGAATCAACTCTATGCAGAAAACATGGAAGGTCAGTATTAAATCCAGCTGCTGACACTCGGGTTACAACAGTATGGAAGGTCAATAAAAATATTGTCTCTATATCCAACCCCCAACCCCACTCCTCTTCAACAACACAAACACATATACACTCGAACACAGAATATTGATTGTATGATTGGTCCAGTGACAGTGGAAGGTTTTCAAGATTGGTTTTAGTGCGGTTTGCTTTCCTATTTTTCAGGCTGGTAGAAACTTCCATCCTTCTCTGCCCCAATCCTACTTCAAGCGTATGTTGGGTGTGTACGACATCAATGGTGAGAGTCAGAGACTCAACAATATGCTGCCCCAGAAGACACATGAACTGTCCATGATCAGCCTGCCAGAGAACTTTGACGCCCGTACCCAGTGGCCCAACTGTGCATCCCTGAAGGAAGTCCGTGATCAGTCCAACTGTGGCTCTTGCTGGGTAAGACTGTGTAGTTCCTCACCTAATGGACCGACTGGCTGTTTGCCAGTTTCAATTAAAACACAACTTAGTATTCTCTACCACTAAACAGAAACCTGAAGACATTTTTAACGAGAATGGCCTTTCATCCGACCAATCTGAGCAGATCTACCAGGAAAGTGTTCTCTGGCTAAGCTAATTCGAAAGGTTAACACGTGTACACTGAACGTTTTATGGCCAAGAACGCTTGAACCTGCTAATGAAAAGGTGGTCTGCAATGGACGTTAGTTCCGTTAGGTTATAAATATTTTCTCTACTGGCTAACATCGACTTTTTAGTCACATCAATGGTTGGTCAAAATAGGTTGATACAAAAAAGAATGTTTTGTCTGATCAGTGTTAAGGTCAGTGTTCTTGTTTGAACAATGTATACCCGTAAGGCAGGAATAGGATACCTCAAAATTTGTAAATGAGACATGAATTGAGATGTGAATAGTTTGACTCCGCATATGTACTTTTTTAAAAGATCAGTGAAATGATCCATGAGCGAGCCAAAACAAGGAATGGTGCCTTAACCTTTTGTGATTCTTTGGTTTGTCACAATATACCAGCTTATGTTGTATATATTTCTTCTGTTCCTACAATTATTTCGCTTAATGCAGGCTTTTGGTGCTGTTGAGGCAATGACAGACAGAATCTGTATCCTGTCCAAAGGAGCCAAGAATTTCCACATCTCAGCAGAGAACTTGATGACATGCTGCAAGACATGCGGATTCGGGTAGGTCCCATCAACTACCAACCTCTACCTCAGGATAATCCTATTAAAATCAATCTTGTAGTTACCATCAAAGGAAGGTCTGAGAACATTACATTACGTACAACCTCATAACTGCTTTCTCATTAGCCAATGTCACTGTATTGGTAGGTCAAGGTGTCACGTAAAGTCGATCTGACGTGGGAGGGATAACCTGTAATCTGTGTTTTAGCAATAACGAGAACGAGCATATGAAGTAATGAGATTGTTTATGTGGACTGATCGTCATTTGTCGGAGTTGGTGGTGCAGGTCGTATCGACTTACACTCACTACAGGAGTGTCATCTTGTTTCAGCAGCTAGACCAGTGGACAAATAGAAACGCTTTTATCAACAATCTCCTTTCCTTCCATGTTTTGTTTGTCACGGTGTATTGACCGAGTCATTTGGTTGGGTTGAAGGTGTAGTCCATTTTGACTTACGGGGTGTCATCCTTTGTTGGCAGATGTAACGGTGGCTTCCCAGCGGCAGCCTGGAAGTACTTTGAGGATGACGGCATCGTCACTGGCGGTCAGTACGGCTCCAAGCAGGTCAGTGATGCTTCTAATCACCTTCTGGATTGGGCTGTAATTCTCAATCTTCATAATTCTAAATCCGATATTAGAATACTATCGTTGCCTTGAGTAGCATTATGAAAGGTGAAACGCCTGTAACACAAAACAACTTCCCTGAAGAGTTTCTCACTGCAATAAACTTGTCACAATTATTTTGGAATTCCAGTAAGATATTTGACTGAATATTTTCAGTGAAAGGTAAATATGTATGATGTGAATAGATATCTCTGGTTTGAAATAACGTTGGTGTGTGCCAGGGTTGCCAACCCTACCTGCTGGCCAAATGCGACCACCATGTTCCTGGCAAATACGGACCCTGCACCGGAGACTCCAAGACACCCAAGTGTGAGAAGAAGTGTGAGGCAGGCTACAACATCACCTATGAAAATGACAAACACTACGGTAAGTTTATGAATACTTTGAACAAAATAAAATACTCACATCTTTTCTGGCCGCATGTGGATCTGGAACGACAGCGAGAAAACTACTGCCCGTCTGAGGTTGCTTATCCTTGTAAGGTTACTTTTATTGTATGCGTGACATCATATCCTTACAGTGTGGGGGACATTGTCAGTTGCTGGTCGTGACTTAGTTATTTCCAGGCCACCATGATGTTGTCTGGACACAACTGGAATACGGCTGAGTGCCACATTACGCATAAAACCAACAAAGGTCTGAGAGGGAGTGTCTCACAAATATCCTTTGCTGCATCATTCCCGTCACCTGGAAAATGGGACAGGCACGGTTACATTACATGATCGTGTCGTGTGAAAAGTGGGTTTTCTAGAACGGGATAAATACCCCAATGATGACAAACGTCCTAAAATATTGAGGTGCAGATCGGGGCGCTTTGGCTTGTGACTGAAATACTTATTGATTGTCTCTCTTATGCAGGGTCCCGATCCTACTCAGTGCGTGGCGTGGACCAGATCATGGCTGAGCTCTACAAGAACGGACCAGTGGAGGCAGCTTTCACTGTGTATAGTGATTTCCCCACCTACAAATCTGGTGAGTGGATACACCATATCACCAGACACACTAACTGAGGTTAGGAATAAGGTGTGGGTTGTGTAGTTGTCTGGTAATAGTAATCCAGTTACTTAATGGTTGGATAAGGCCCTATGTTCGTGTGGTTTCCTGATGGATGTGTGGTGGAGATACTGCTTGGTGTTTTTACAAGTCAGGTGTGCTGGACACTATAATTTAATTGGCTAACGGGTTGTGTACAATATTTCATGTTAAAACTACAACCTCTGCCCTGTTACTGCTGCAGTATGGACTCCCTCATGACCATGTTACGCTACACTAATGCTATTACAGTATGGACTCCCTCATGACCTTGTTACTCTACCCTAATGCTATTACAGTATGGACTCCCTCATGACCTTGTCACTCTACCCTAATGCTATTACAGTATGGACTCCCTCATGACCTTGTCACTCTACCCTAATGCTATTACAGTATGGACTCCCTCATGACCTTGTTACTCTACCCTAATGCTATTACAGTATGGACTCCCTCATGACCTTGTCACTCTACCCTAATGCTATTACAGTATAGACTCCCTCATGACCATGTTACTCTACCCTAATGCTACACCCCTTACATTATGTGGACTCCCTCATGACCATGTTACTCTACCCTAATGCTATTACAGTATGGACTCCCTCATGACCATGTTACTCTACCCTAATGCTATTACAGTATGGACTCCCTCATGACCTTGTTACTCTACCCTAATGCTATTACAGTATGGACTCCCTCATGACCTTGTTACTCTACCCTAATGCTATTACAGTATGGACTCCCTCATGACCATGTTACTCTACCCTAATGCTATTACAGTATGGACTCCCTCATGACCATGTTACTCTACCCCTAATGCTATTACAGTATGGACTCCCTCATGACCATGTTACTCTACCCTAATGCTATTACAGTATGGACTCCCTCATGACCATGTTACTCTACCCTAATGCTATTACAGTATGGACTCCCTCATGACCATGACTCTACCCCCTAATGCTATTACAGTATGGACTCCCTCATGACCATGTGCTCTACCCTAATGCTATTACAGTATGGACTCCCTCATGACCTTGTTACTCTACCCTAATGCTATTACAGTATGGACTCCCTCATGACCATGTTACTCTACCCTAATGCTATTACAGTATGGACTCCCTCATGACCATGTTACTCTACCCTAATGCTATTACAGTATGGACTCCCTCATGACCATGTTACTCTACCCTAATGCTATTACAGTATGGACTCCCTCATGACCATGTTACTCTACCCTAATGCTATTACAGTATGGACTCCCTCATGACCATGTTACTCTACCCTAATGCTATTACAGTATGGACTCCCTCATGACCATGTTACTCTACCCTAATGCTATTACAGTATGGACTCCCTCATGACCATGTTACTCTACCCTAATGCTATTACAGTATGGACTCCCTCATGACCATGTTACTCTACCCTAATGCTATTACAGTATGGACTCCCTCATGACCATGTTACTCTACCCTAATGCTATTACAGTATGGACTCCCTCATGACCATGTTACTCTACCCCTAATGCTATTACAGTATGGACTCCCTCATGACCATGTTACTCTACCCTAATGCTATTACAGTATGGACAGTATGGACTCCCTCATGACCATGTTACTCTACCCTAATGCTATTACAGTATGGACTCCCTCATCCTTGTTACTCTACCCTAATGCTATTACCCCTCATGACCTTGTTACTCTACCCTAATGCTATTACAGTATGGACTCCCCTCATGACCATGTTACTCTACCCCTAATGCTATTACAGTATGGACTCCCTCATGACCTTGTTACTCTACCCTAATGCTATTACAGTATGGGACTCCCTCATGACCATGTTACTCTACCCTAATGCTATTACAGTATGGACTCCCTCATGACCATGTTACTCTACCCTAATGCTATTACAGTATGGACTCCCTCATGACCATGTTACTCTACCCTAATGCTATTACAGTATGGACTCCCTCATGACCATGTTACTCTACCCTAATGCTATTACAGTATGGACTCCCTCATGACCATGTTACTCTACCCTAATGCTATTACAGTATGGACTCCCTCATGACCATGATACTCTACCCTAATGCTATTACAGTATGGACTCCCTCATGACCATGTTACTCTACCCTAATGCTATTACAGTATGGACTCCCTCATGACCATGTTACTCTACCCTAATGCTATTACAGTATGGACTCCCTCATGACCATGTTACTCTACCCTAATGCTATTACAGTATGGACTCCCTCATGACCATGTTACTCTACCCTAATGCTATTACAGTATGGACTCCCTCATGACCATGTTACTCTACCCTAATGCTATTACAGTATGGACTCCCTCATGACCATTGTTACTCTACTACCCTAATGCTATTACAGTATGGACTCCCTCATGACCATGTTACTCTACCCTAATGCTATTACAGTATGGACTCCCTCATGACCATGTTGACCATGTTACTCTACCCTAATGCTATTACAGTATGGACTCCCTCATGACCATGTTACTCTACCCTAATGCTATTACAGTATGGACTCCCTCATGACCATGTTACTCTACCCTAATGCTATTACAGTATGGACTCCCTCATGACCTTGTTACTCTACCCTAATGCTATTACAGTATGGACTCCCTCATGACCATGTTACTCTACCCTAATGCTATTACAGTATGGACTCCCTCATGACCTTGTTACTCTACCCTAATGCTATTACAGTATGGACTCCCTCATGACCATGTTACTCTACCCTAATGCTATTACAGTATGGACTCCCTCATGACCATTGTTACTCTACCCTAATGCTATTACAGTATGGACTCCCTCATGACCATGTTACTCTACCCTAATGCTATTACAGTATGGACTCCCTCATGACCATGTTACTCTACCCTAATGCTATTACAGTATGGACTCCCTCATGACCATGTTACTCTACCCTAATGCTATTACAGTATGGACTCCCTCATGACCATGTTACTCTACCCTAATGCTATTACAGTATGGACTCCTCATGACCATGTTACTCTACCCTAATGCTATTACAGTATGGACTCCCTCATGACCTTGATACTCTACCCTAATGCTATTACAGTATGGACTCCCCCTTCATGACCATGTTACTCTACCCTAATGCTATTACAGTATGGACTCCCTCATGACCATGATACTCTACCCTAATGCTATTACAGTATGGACTCCCTCATGACCATGTTACTCTACCCTAATGCTATTACAGTATGGACTCCCTCATGACCTTGATACTCTACCCTAATGCTATTACAGTATGGACTCCCTCATGACCATGTTACTCTACCCTAATGCTATTACAGTATGGACTCCCTCATGACCATGTTACTCTACCCTAATGCTATTACAGTATGGACTCCCTCATGACCATGTTACTCTACCCTAATGCTATTACAGTAGGGACTCCCTCATGACCATGTTACTCTACCCTAATGCTATTACAGTATGGACTCCCTCATGACCATGATACTCTACCCTAATGCTATTACAGTATGGACTCCCTCATGATGACCACCCTAATGCTTTACTCTCCCTCATGACCATGTTACTCTACCCTAATGCTATTACAGTATGGACTCCCTCATGACCATGTTACTCTACCCTAATGCTATTACAGTATGTTACTCTACCCTAATGCTATTACAGTATGGACTCCCTCATGACCATGATACTCTACCCTAATGCTATTACAGTATGGACTCCCTCATGACCTTGGCACTCTGTCCTTATACTGCAGCAGGATAGATCCTTACAACCGTGTTATCCTCCCCCGATGCTCCTGCAGTATGGGCTCCCTCCTGACCTTGTAAATCTCTCCTGCTACTGACCATATTACTCTATGACGTAGGTGTGTACAGCCACACCTCCGGCCAGGCTCTTGGAGGACATGCTGTGAAGATCCTGGGCTGGGGTGTTGAGAACGGAGAACAGTACTGGCTGGTAGCCAACTCATGGAACGCTGACTGGGGTCAGGAAGGTAATGTACCATCCCAGATTTCCAGTAATAAATTAACTGTTTGTCTGAATGTTGTCTAGTCTGGACCATGCATTCCAGTGACAACAGGTATAGCTTTGGCAACAATCATTGCCATCGGGGACTAAAGACACACAATCAACCTCACTGTGCTTCAACGACTAATGCTCTTCAGGTGTCCCTGCAAATAATGTCATGTGCGTGGGACGTATTTTTCCCTGGAATCCCCAGGGTGCGAATTAATATAGATGCGGAAGAGATGCAGTAGAGTCATCATCCAATTCGTTTCCTGCTGAAGGAGTCGGTGGAAGTGGGGATCAAAGAGTCTAAACGGATGCAAGCCAACAAATGTGAAATGTCGCATGTGCGTGTTAAATGGTCCAGCCGTATTTTCTCCCTCGTCAGAACATAGTTAACGATGTACAGCCTAGGCTAACACCTAGTCTCTGAACTGAACATATTTTACAGAAAAAAGGTTCCTAAATTATAGTAATAAAATATAATGAAAAGGAGCCCAGAGACTTTTTTCATTTTCCTGAACCTGTGGTAATGTAGACTTGCCACATTTTCTAGACAATCTTGGACATATTTGTTTCAGGACCTGTATGGCAGATTATGTCCAACCATAACTTAAGATGTAATACATGTTTCCGAACTAATAATAATGACTTTATGTTTTTTTCAGGATTCTTTAAGATCAAGAGAGGTACTGATGAATGCGGTATAGAGTCCCAGATTGTCGCTGGAGAGCCCAAACTGTAAATTCAGCATTATTCAGCATATTCAGCAACGCCATCTTGCCTTACATCTCAGCGTATCTTGATGATGATTCAAGGTGATACAGCACCTGGAAAACCCCAAAGCTGTTTTATAACCTTGAATAAACAAGTTGTCTTTCCTATTTTGGTACATTCCAGTATGTCATCATTTGTATATTGAGTTTCAGTTTTGAATGTTCAATTTACATGAACCAGTCATTTACGTGCAATAAACAGTATTTTAAATAATGTGTTGATGTTTGTCTGACAACTCTACAGTGAATACTGCAAGACAGGGACAGTGTTTGAAAAACACGACTACAATTGCGCACGCACCCACAAAAAATACAAAACCCACCCACCACCCCACACCCCAGCACACACACACTTTCACATGAACGTACCATTTTCTTACAACATTCGAAACAGTCATGTGCTATCAAACAATCAAAATGGCTAATTTGATCAACCGAAATCAGATCAGAACCAAGTTAAAACTGAACCATCTTCTCTTCTAAAGGCAGAGTCCACTGTACGATTCCGACTATATCTGAAGAATATGCGCTTGACTTGCCATCAAATAGTGAACAATACAGTAGTTCATATGAGAAACATAATCATGATTTCCGATGACACCCGTGTTTCGGTGTTTTGGCAAAAACAGATTCAATATCTATAGGATACTGGATCACCATCGTGTGATTATTATAGCAAAAATCAAGATTCAATATCTATAGGAACTGATCACCATCGTGTGATTATTATAGCAAAAATCAAGATTCAATATCTATAGGAACTGGATCACCATCGTGTGATTATTATAGCAAAAATCAAGATTCAATATCTATAGGAACTGGATCACCATCGTGTGATTATTATAGCAAAAATCAAGATTCAATATCTATAGAAACTGATCACCATCGTGTGATTATATCAATAATCAAGATTCAATATCTATAGGAACTGGATCACCATCGTCTAAGTATATCAATAATTAAGTTTCAATATCTATAGGAACTGGATCACCATCGTGTAATTATATCAATAATTAAGATTCAATATCTATAGGAACTGGATCACCATCGTGTGATCATATCAATAATCAAGATTCAATATCTATAGGAACTGGATCACCATCGTGTGATTATATCAATAATCAAGATTCAATATCTATAGGAACTGGATCACCATCGTGTAATTATATCAATAATTAAGTTTCAATATCTATAGGAACTGGATCACCATCGTGTAATTATATCAATAATTAAGTTTCAATATCTATAGGAACTGGATCACCATCGTGTGATTATATCAATAATTAAGATTCAATATCTTTAGGAACTGGATCACCATCGTGTGATTATTATATCAAAAATCAAGATTCAATATCTATAGGAACTGATCACCATCGTGTGATTATTATAGCAAAAATCAAGATTCAATATCTATAGGAACTGATCACCATCGTGTGATTATTATATCAATAATCAAGATTCAATATCTATAGGAACTGGATCACCATCGTGTAATTATATCAATAATTAAGTTTCAATATCTATAGGAACTGGATCACCATCGTGTGATTATATCAATAATTAAGTTTCAATATCTATAGGAACTGGATCACCATCGTGTAATTATATCAATAATTAAGTTTCAATATCTATAGGAACTGGATCACCATCGTGTAATTATATCAATAATTAAGTTTCAATATCTATAGGAACTGGATCACCATCGTGTGATTATATCAATAATCAAGATTCAATATCTATAGGAACTGGATCACCATCGTGTAATTATATCAATAATTAAGTTTCAATATCTATAGGAACTGGATCACCATCGTGTAATTATATCAATAATCAAGATTCAATATCTATAGGAACTGGATCACCATCGTGTGATTATATCAATAATCAAGATTCAATATCTATAGGAACTGGATCACCATCGTGTGATTATATCAATAATTAAGTTTCAATATCTATAGGAACTGGATCACCATCGTGTGATTATATCAATAATCAAGATTCAATATCTATAGGAACTGGATCACCATCGTGTAATTATATCAATAATTAAGTTTCAATATCTATAGGAACTGGATCACCATCGTGTAATTATATCAATAATTAAGTTTCAATATCTATAGGAACTGGATCACCATCGTGTAATTATATCAATAATTAAGTTTCAATATCTATAGGAACTGGATCACCATCGTGTGATTATATCAATAATCAAGATTCAATATCTATAGGAACTGGATCACCATCGTGTAATTATATCAATAATTAAGTTTCAATATCTATAGGAACTGGATCACCATCGTGTGATTATATCAATAATTAAGATTCAATATCTATAGGAACTGGATCACCATCGTGTGATTATATCAATAATTAAGTTTCAATATCTATAGGAACTGGATCACCATCGTGTGATTATATCAATAATTAAGATTCAATATCTATAGGAACTGGATCACCATCGTGTAATTATATCAATAATCAAGATTCAATATCTATAGGAACTGGATCACCATCGTGTAATTATATCAATAATCAAGATTCAATATCTATAGGAACTGGATCACCATCGTGTGATTATATCAATAATCAAGTTTCAATATCTATAGGAACTGGATCACCATCGTGTGATTATATCAATAATCAAGATTCAATATCTATAGGAACTGGATCACCATCGTGTAATTATATCAATAATTAAGTTTCAATATCTATAGGAACTGGATCACCATCGTGTGATTATATCAATAATTAAGTTTCAATATCTATAGGAACTGGATCACCATCGTGTGATTATATCAATAATCAAGATTCAATATCTATAGGAACTGGATCACCATCGTGTGATTATATCAATAATTAAGTTTCAATATCTATAGGAACTGGATCACCATCGTGTAATTATATCAATAATTAAGTTTCAATATCTATAGGAACTGGATCACCATCGTGTAATTATATCAATAATTAAGTTTCAATATCTATAGGAACTGGATCACCATCGTGTAATTATATCAATAATTAAGTTTCAATATCTATAGGAACTGGATCACCATCGTGTGATTATATCAATAATTAAGTTTCAATATCTATAGGAACTGGATCACCATCGTGTAATTATATCAATAATTAAGTTTCAATATCTATAGGAACTGGATCACCATCGTGTGATTATATCAATAATTAAGATTCAATATCTATAGGAACTGGATCACCATCGTGTGATTATATCAATAATTAAGTTTCAATATCTATAGGAACTGGATCACCATCGTGTGATTATATCAATAATTAAGTTTCAATATCTATAGGAACTGGATCACCATCGTGTGATTATATCAATAATTAAGATTCAATATCTATAGGAACTGGATCACCATCGTGTGAATTATATCAATAATTAAGTTTCAATATCTATAGGAACTGGATCACCATCGTGTAATTATATCAATAATTAAGTTTCAATATCTATAGGAACTGGATCACCATCGTGTGAATTATATCAATAATTAAGTTTCAATATCTATAGGAACTGGATCACCATCGTGTGATTATATCAATAATTAAGTTTCAATATCTATAGGAACTGGATCACCATCGTGTGATTATATCAATAATTAAGATTCAATATCTATAGGAACTGGATCACCATCGTGTAATTATATCAATAATTAAGTTTCAATATCTATAGGAACTGGATCACCATCGTGTGATTATATCAATAATTAAGTTTCAATATCTATAGGAACTGGATCACCATCGTGTGATTATATCAATAATTAAGATTCAATATCTATAGGAACTGGATCACCATCGTGTAATTATATCAATAATTAAGTTTCAATATCTATAGGAACTGGATCACCATCGTGTAATTATATCAATAATTAAGATTCAATATCTATAGGAACTGGATCACCATCGTGTGATTATATCAATAATCAAGATTCAATATCTATAGGAACTGGATCACCATCGTGTGATTATATCAATAATCAAGATTCAATATCTATAGGAACTGGATCACCATCGTGTGATTATATCAATAATTAAGTTTCAATATCTATAGGAACTGGATCACCATCGTGTAATTATATCAATAATTAAGTTTCAATATCTATAGGAACTGGATCACCATCGTGTGATTATATCAATAATTAAGATTCAATATCTATAGGAACTGGATCACCATCGTGTGATTATATCAATAATTAAGATTCAATATCTATAGGAACTGGATCACCATCGTGTAATTATATCAATAATTAAGTTTCAATATCTATAGGAACTGGATCACCATCGTGTGATTATATCAATAATCAAGATTCAATATCTATAGGAACTGGATCACCATCGTGTGATTATATCAATAATTAAGTTTCAATATCTATAGGAACTGGATCACCATCGTGTAATTATATCAATAATTAAGTTTCAATATGATTCAATATCTATAGGAACTGGATCACCATCGTGTGATTATATCAATAATTAAGTTTCAATATCTATAGGAACTGGATCACCATCGTGTGATTATATCATAAGATTCAATAATTAAGTTTCAATATCTATAGGAACTGGATCACCATCGTGTAATTATATCAATAATTAAGTTTCAATATCTATAGGAACTGGATCACCATCGTGTAATTATATCAATAATTAAGTTTCAATATCTATAGGAACTGGATCACCATCGTGTGATTATATCAATAATTAAGTTTCAATATCTATAGGAACTGGATCACCATCGTGTGATTATATCAATAATTAAGTTTCAATATCTATAGGAACTGGATCACCATCGTGTGATTATATCAATAATTAAGTTTCAATATCTATAGGAACTGGATCACCATCGTGTGATTATATCAATAATTAAGTTTCAATATCTATAGGAACTGATCACCATCGTGTAATTATATCAATAATTAAGTTTCAATATCTATAGGAACTGGATCACCATCGTGTGATTATATCAATAATTAAGTTTCAATATCTATAGGAACTGGATCACCATCGTGTGATTATATCAATAATTAAGATTCAATATCTATAGGAACTGATCACCATCGTGTGATTATATCAATAATTAAGATTCAATATCTATAGGAACTGGATCACCATCGTGTGATTATATCAATAATTAAGTTTCAATATCTATAGGAACTGGATCACCATCGTGTGATTATATCAATAATTAAGATTCAATATCTA